GTTTTTTTTTTTTTTATTGTTAGTGCATCTAGTAAATATGCTTGTAACCGTAATTGTCAATGTACATGTAAATAATAAAGAAATAAAAAAAATTGTTAAATTAAAGAAAAAAAAAACATAAGTAAAGTAACATGACATTTTGAGACTTTGAAATGTCAGGTTACTTTACTTATGTTGATTTTCTTGCTTAAATGTTTTTCAAAATAAATGGTTTTTTATTAAATGCAGTAATACTGCACATTACTGTTTGAACATTGATACATGTATAATTCAAAGTGAATGTACTCCAGCCTCAATGCAAAATCCAATGAAATTCTCTGTCATTCAAAGGAAAAGCAAGGACAGGAAATGTGCACAAATGTGAGGCAATAACTTCATTTAACTTTTATTACTAAATTTCTTATTAATATTTTGATGTTGCTCATGACAAAATTTGACAGTTACAGTATTTCACATCTACAATGCATTCCTTATCCAAGTTACCTCCATGTACAGTTGTAACTTACATGCATCTCTTCAGAAAGATAGCAGAGGGAAAAAATCAAGGAAAGAAACAAAGATAACTTTGCATACTTTGTTAGTGCTCATAACCCAATTTTGGCCTTACATTACCTTTAAAACATCAGTTACACCTTCCACTCGCATTGGAGCAGGAAACCAGCAGTTCACATACTGCAGCAAGGCTTGGTGCAAACTTCTAATGACGGTCACATGGTCTGGCAGTTCAATGCTACCATAGTAATGAAGCACAGTGAAGCACAGAATGACTGGATTCAGTGTGCTGTGAATCATATCAAAGATCACACAATTCATGTACCGGGCTATGCAACCTGAAACCAGAGGAAAACTAATCAAAAATTACAAATAAAATCACTTGTCTTTGACAATAACTGATGAACATTACATAAGGTTGCTATGTTCCCAGTAGAGAATAAAAATAGTTGTCATAAACGTTTCAACTAAAAAATATTAATTGTCTAGTCTCATGCATTTTGTCTTAAAATAAGTACTCTTGGGGGCTAATAATATTATTTTGTGTGTTTCCAAAATGTAGCATGTGCACCCCTCAATTTCTAAATGAACCTCCTCTTCCTCAAAGATCAAGGAATAACTTTCAACTAATTGTATAGATATAACATTTTACATGTCAATGCACAAATGCTGTTTGCAGTTATTTGTGTTTATCATTATAGTGCATTGTAGAAGCTGGAAGGCTTACTCTACAGACATGTATATTACAACAATTGTTCAGCAAGTCCCTAACATTTCAAGGTATAATTACTCAAATACCTACACTGCACATACCTAGACTACCCACTGCTGTCTCCTCATCTGATTCATTGATCTTAGAGAGCATCTGTGAATACTGCTTTAAAGCTCCAACAAGTAGTAGACTCACTGGCAGACTGAAAAGAATCAAATCTCAGTAAGTTTTCTAATCATGATTCTACTATTTTTACAAGACAATAAGAGCAAGATAAGACTAGTACATAATGGGTGTATATTGAATGTTATTACTGTAAGTAATTAAACCAGCAACTGTGACTACTCACATAAGGCTGCATGGGTGACGCTGAAAAAGGGACTGGCCATTTTATCCTTGAAACAGAAATTCAAGTAATCAAAGTCAAACCTTTTATCAGAGGACCAATTCCATTCAGTAGAGTCCATAGCAAACTGCACCTCATTTGCCTCTTGAGCAACTGCTTCAGTCTGCATGTCAATTACAATGTCTGTGTACACATATGGCTCAGCAGCTACTGCAGTGAATACTTCATCTAAGAACCTCAGAAGTGTCTCTCGGTGTCCTTCATATAGTTGATTATGGCACAGGTGACTCAACCAAGTTTCTACTTCATTTCTATAAGGAGAGCTGCTGACAAGCTCCATTTCACTTAGAAGCTGCAAAAAATATTTTGAAAAATGTCATCAAACACCAATGTACATGTAATGGTATGTTAAGTCTGCAAACATGATAAGTGGCCGGTTGGGCTGCAACCTATCTTGGTTTCTGCAGCATGAAGCAACTAGCAATATTTCTACTCCCCCCTGGATGGGATGCTAGTCCACTGCAGGGTTACCCCAGCATTAAATTCACCATTGCCCATTTATACACCTGAACATTGTCATCCCCAGAGGCAGTGCTCCTTTTGGTCAGCACCAAGAATCGCAACCTCTGGGCTGGTCCAACACCGGAAGTC